CTATGTGGTGGGGAGAGGGGGGGGGGGGGGCGAGAGTGTTATATGACAAAATAGAATGGCACTATAGGGGATTAGTTGCATTGAAAGTGGACGAAGCTACGTATTCAAGTATTGTTGTGCCTTCTCTTCTCGAAAAGATGCTGTAGTCCTTGTACCTAACAATGGACAGGTATGGAAAAAGAGAGGAATGTATATACAAAAACCCTGCTCTGTTTGCTGGAAGGGTGTTTGTGCATTTTTCCAAGGAAGTCACAACCATGAAGCTTGCCAGAAGGTGAAGGACACCAGAGAACGTAAGAGTATTTTACGAAAATATTCTAAATATTTTAAGGGCCACTTGGCCAGAAATTGCATGAATAAGGTAGTTTGCAATACTTGTAAGGGGCAACATCACACAGCTTTGTGTGAGAAGAAAAAAACTGAAAAGGACAGCGATAAACAGGGTAAGAACCAGCATGAGGGCCCAAAGGATGTAGTAAACCAAGTAGTATGATGTTTGCAGGTAATAGTTGTAGGATTGCATTGCAAACACCACAAGCGTTAGTTAAGGGTGAAAGGTAGTGTCCCAAAGAGTGCTCTTCGATTCAGGCAGTCATAAGTTGTATGAATCTAGCAGGGTTAAAGGTTCTGTGCAAAGAGTTGTTAGGCTTAAGTATGTTCGGCCAGAAAGCCAAGGAGACGGAAGTTAGGGAAGTTGTCCGCATTGACGTAAACCCTCCAGGTAATGGCAAGGTGAGGCTCACCCTTGAGGCTTACTTGGTGCCGTAATTTCACATGAAAGGAATGAGCACATTGAGGTTGTCAAGCACAATTTTCCCCATCTGAAGGACCTTTGGTTTTCAGACGTTAACAAAACCGTACACAAGTTAGAGATAGATTTTCTTATAGGCTCTGATAATTTGGGGAATTTCCAGAGCGGTCATATAGTACGGGGTGGATGACGATGATGAGACATTGGTAAGTTTTGATGATGGGGAATGCATGGGTGGTATAGCACATAATGTTGGGAACATTACTCTGGATGATGCAGTGTGTAGATTGTGGGATTTGGATAGTTTGGGTATTAAGGAGATGGATGAGGTTTACAAGGCGTTGGGGATAGCATAAGATTTGATGGTGTGAGATAATCTGTTAAACTACCGTGGAAAGTAGGTCATGCAACATTACATTACCAACAATGAGCTCAGCTGAGGGTCCTGAAGGGGGGGGGGGTCCCAATCCCATTTCCCACCTGAAATTTTGGCAAAATCCCAGTCCCAGTTGGATTTTTATTAGAAATCCCAGTCCGAGTTATTGAAATCCCAGTCAATAAAAACCCCTTTATTTATCGGTACAATAAACAGTTTTAAGACCTTTTTAAGTCACCGTGTGTGCAAGTGGCGGAAACTTTATGAAATATTGGGGGATACTCGTGCCAAAGGCACGGAAAATTTTTAAATTTGAATCCCGGAAATGGCATTTGCAGCATTCCGAGACACGCATAATCAGAAAACAGAATTCCGGGCGCTAGATTATGCCTGTTCGCAGGTAGTGCTGTGAATAATATAGTTAACAACAAAAATGTGACCAAAGACACCAAAAACGGATCAAAATTGTATTTTAAAACACTTAACGTAGAAAAATTGGGAATCGACTCGCATTACCTCAATCCCAGTCCCAGCAACCCAAATCCCATTTTCCCAGTCTAAAAATAGATCAATCCCAGTTCCCATTTTACCCCTTCAGGGCCCTCTCAGCTTGTCAGAATGTTAAAATATCTAATATAGCCATCATTTATATTATGAAACTGGTAAAATAATTTCATATGCTCTAAACGTCTGATTCCCCTTTGTGTTTATATATGTTGTGCTCATTTAAAAGGGAGCCTAAACTCCTATAAGCCTTGTGGTTTCGTCTTAGGCTTCCTTGTCACCAACATGATGACTGAACAAAATTTATTTATCGAACTATACTTATTTATATAACTTATCGATCTTATTTAAATATCTAACTATTATATAACAGTTCTATAATATTTATATATACAGTATATGCATGTAATTTACAATCTTTTTATTTTTATTTTTTTTTGTAATGTTGGTGTCAAATCAAATTAAATTCAAAATTCAAAATTCAAATAATATAATTAAACAGCAATTAGATGCAGGTGTGATTGAGTGCCAAAATTAGATACAGCTGAGAAAGTTTAACACAGGCAGTAGTGAGGCAGAACACACAGACTACAAAGGTTAGGGTAGTTTAAGATGCTTCAGCAAAGGATTTAAAAAGTTCCCTCACTTAACCCATTATTGATAGACATATTATTGTGATTTAGGGTAAATAGGGTAGCTTTAGTAGCGGATATTGAAAAAGCATTTTTGAATGTTAGAGTAGACAAAGATGATCACAATTGTTTAAGGTTTTTTTGGCCAGATGTTCCAAATGACAGCAAGTCGCTTTTGTAGAGTTGTTTTCGGAGTAAATGCTTTGCATTTTTGCTAAAGGAATGCTAAGGCATCATTTGGCTAAGTATAAGAAAGAGGATCCGTTTGTTAGGAAAATATTAGATGTTGATGATTTAGTTTCAGGTGAAAATTTGAGCACTGAGGCCAATGCGCTATTTCAAAAGGCTAGTGATAAGATGACACAAGGCAGATTTAAATTGGCATAAGTGGTTGACGAATGACATGTAATTTAAAAGATAAGATATCAATAGGTAGTGATGCAAAACATGATTGTGTGGGCAGAAATACTGAGAAAACCTTGCTAAAACTTTCTTAGCTGTGCATGGGAGTCTAATAATACAAAAGATTTCGGGCTTAGTTGAACTGGCTTACCACTAGTAGAAATATAATGAATGCTTGATATTCTTACCAAATTTCAAGGCAAAATTCGTTCATCTTCCCAACTTTTTTATGATTCTTATCTGCCAATTTTACGGCCGCCAATTAAGGAAGAAGGCGTTTTGAAGAGGATGTGACGTCATTCACTCAACACGCCAAATGTTTTTATTGGATTTCACTGCTATTTCAGCAATGTTTTCGTACAAAGGAGAGTCAGAAACTTCAGAAAGTGAACGTTAGATAAGATAATTTAATTTTGCCACAGATATGAGTTATATTAGGGGTTTGCACAAGTTGCTCGAAATTTTGATAATAGTTGCTCAAGAAAAGTTGCCTAAGAACGTTGCTTAAAAGTTGCTACTTTAATTGTGCTACCAAGTGCTGCTATTTTAACTTTTGACCAATTTTCAGTATGAAAAAAAATTTGAGCATGAAACAATTTTTTAATATAGTACTTTTTATATAGATTATAGTTCTATGTAATCGAATATAAAATCTGGCGTAGTGTAAAAACAATTATGATGTCAAATACCAAATTTTGTGTAAATACATAGTTTTAATAGAATGTTCTCTACACAATTTAAAACGTTACTGAGCTTTTCCCCTCTGAGTAGAATTGTACTTCAACATGATTGACGCTTCGACTGTTTCTTCTAAAGCAGTTTCCTGGCCTTTTGAAAAGGTACTGTTCAAAAGGCTAAAGACTCTCTCAGCAGCACCAGAACTTGGTTGAACGAGCAAGATTTTTCTAACAACAGCTGCCCATTTCGGAAGAGTGCTTGCATTCCTTGCCCACCACTTTACTCTGTCATCCTCCGTTTGTACTTGAACACCATCTGATAGAGCCAGGTAATTTGGAAGTTCTTGACCAAGTCCATTAATAATTGCATCATCATCCAAAAATGGAAATTTACGAAGTAGTTCTAAAGACTCTATGGTAGGTTGGAGTCCTTGAACTTGTACTGGACAGCACAAGCGTGCACCTCGAAATGCTCGCATAATATCATAGAACTCAATGTTGACTTTGTTCAAGTAGTATTGGAAGCCAGGTTTGATGCAAGACTTCACTCTTTCAAGCAGTTGGTTGAAAATAACCTGGTTGCCATTTGCTCTTTCACGTGACAGTGCAGTACAATTAGGATAAGCGCCCAATTGCACTATTTGAGCAAAGCCGTCAAGTGCTGATAGCAGGTAAATATCAAAGGACCATCCCCTTCGAGATTGTATGTTGTTGTAACAAAGCTTCTTCCACCATCAATTAGATCTGCAATTTCAAGCTTGAAATCTGCAACATCTTCAGGACTGTCGAAAATTTCCAGCAAATGAGCATGTAATGCTGGAGCAAGATCTTCAATTCCTCTGATGAAAGGCTCCACATCCCCAAAATAGTCATGAACTTGATTAATGCTTCTCACATGCTCCACCACCTTGTTGCTGAAGTGGTACGCATGACTTTACCAGTTTTAGTCTTCCACGCTAGTCGTACAGCAGGACTTTGAGAAAACATGCTATTCCAGTGCCTGATAAATGTATCTAAGATTCTGAACTGAAATTTCTTTCCAGCATTGTCAATAACATGATTAAAGCAAGTAATACTGAAGAGGTTTGAGAAATAAAACTTGACTTGATTTAGTGCGGCTTCATTTACTGCAGCACTGTCTTTCGTTGCACATAATATCAATTCAGGATGAACTGAGAATTCAACAGCTAAGCAATGAATCAAACGTTGAGCTAGTTCTTGGGATTTTAAACTCTTCGCTAGAGTTTCCAGCTTTAACAGTCTCTGCTGAATATTCCATCGAGTGTCAATGTATCGTAGAACAATAGCAAGGACCTCCCCAAGTCTGCAGCTGCCATCAAACATCACAGAGAATTCATCACCATCTGAAATGTCAGTTTTCAGAGTCTCCTTTTCTTTATCCAACGAGAGTGGGATGGTTTCTGAAAGATGACCACTTGAAGTTAAACGATGCCCATATTTTTCCACAAATGGCCTCATAACATAGGCAACGTTTTCATCATCTTCACTTGCACTATCCTTGGACAATTCGGATTCACTTTCATTTTCTGAACTTTAACTGTTGGCCATTTTGAATTTTGAGAAACAAAAGTGCAATAACTCCGGTATTAATTCCCCTATAGCGGTTAAATTACTGAGTATTAAATACCGATAAAGAGATATTGAGATTGACTGGACTTGACTAAAATTGACTAAAATTGTTTATTATTATCCTAATATGGCCAACAATATTTCAACACAAAATGAAAGTAAACTCAAAATCGCTAAAAACATGCCAAATTCATGAAAAGTTGCTCGAAGTTACAAAAGTTGCCGTTTAAAACAAAAGTTGCTCATAAAACAAGCAACTTGTGGAAACCCCTAAGTTATTTTATAATAATAATATAGTTAGTTTTACATAGTCAATATGTACACCATAAAGTAGATGCCAGTGGCAAAGGGCATCCGGAAACCATAGGGCTTGTAAATAGGATGTCTCCTTGGAGCAGTAGTAACAGAAAATATAGATCAGACAAATGATTAGTTAGGTACGGTCAAGAAAAACGTAATTAGGCATCTAGCAAATATTTCAAAATTCTATTCCTGAAGCAATTTTGACAAACTCTGGGAGAAATTCCACAATTTGGGTCCTTGAAATAGGATGGTGAACTGCTTTACATTAGTTCTACATGCATGAGCTCTGTATGAACTTGCATTTCTAGTTTAGTAATCATGGATTTCATTGTTGGTAACAACCATATTGAGAAAAGAGGGTGGTAATAGCTGATTGTGGTAAGAAAACATGAATTTACCAATATGGAAGGAATTAAGCTGATATATATTGAGTATTTTTAATTTCCTAAATAGTGGAGCAGTATGCGCCCGGTAATTAGAATTCGTCAGTGCTCTGACAATTCGTTTCTGTAATAGAAATATGCGACTTAAATTGGAAACATAGGTGGAGGACCAAGCAGTGTTACAATAGGTAAGGTATGGATAGATTAACATGTACTACAATGACAATTTAGTACTAGCTAACAGGTAAAAACGAGCTCGATAAATTATGCTGATAGACTTAGAAACCTTTTTACAGACATGACAAATGTGAGGCTTCCAGGTGAGATTCTCATCCAGAAAAACCTCCAGAAACTTAACCTTTGGTTTACAAGTAATACATTTATCAATGAAAGAGAGAGATATATCATAAGAGATTTTCTCATGCCTGGAGTGGAAAATAACATAGTCTGTTTTGTCATTGTTAACAGAGAGTTTAGTTGCTCTCATCCAAAAACCGATGCTTTGCAATGCTTCGTTTAACACTGCAGTTAGTACCACAGGGTCAGAGTGAGAGTAACAGATGCTGGTATCATCTGCAAATAGTGAAGGTTCAACTATACGGGAGGCATTCGGAAAGTCATTTATATATAAAATAAAAAGGAGAGGGCCTAAAATTTAACCTTGGGGCACACCACATTGGGTGATTAACTGACTAGAAGTAACATTGTTGTACTGAATAAATTGTTTACGGTTATGAAAATAGCTCTTGATCCAATTTAGCACGACTCCGTGTATGCCATAGTTTTTGAGCTTGGAAAAAAGTATACTGTGATTTAGTGTGTCAAATGCTTTCGACAGGTCTAGAAATACATCAATAGAAATTTTGTTTTGATCAATTTCAGTTGCTATTTTTGTAACTACCAATTAAAGTGATCATGCATGTAATTTATGTTGATTACTTTGTTGTTGATATATATGTATGTATATGTATATATATATATGTATATATATATGTATATATATATGTATATGTATATATATATGTATATGTATATATATATATATGTATATGTATATATATATATGTATATAATATATATATGTATATAATATATATATATATATATATATATATATATATATAATATATAAAATAGTTTGTGTAGGGTTATAAAAACCAATGATAGAGTGCTCAATGGATAACCAGAGCATAATAGTAATATTTTCGTGACACTACTTGAGGTGTTAATTGATTTGTAATTAGATAAGCGTCCTTTATACCATCTGTACATATTTAAAAAGTTTGTTAAGAAGCTATGGGTCAAACATAGGCTATTTTATCTGAAGAGTGCCACGTTATTTACGTGGTACGAAACTGTATAGTAATAAATATGCCAAACAAAGCTTGCTAAGTTTTTGTGTCTTTCTATATAATATATATATATATATATAATATATATATATATATATATAATATATATATATATATAATATAATATATATATATATATATAATATATATATATATATATATATATGTAATATATATACTGAAGATTATTTTCAAAAAAATAGTCGATGAGTTGACGTAAGGTAGAAGAGCGCTCAATACCATAATAAGTAGAGCGGAATTAATTCAGTCAAGGTTTGAATGTTTGCGTCGCTACTCTGAGTTTTACGCGATCATCAGGCAACTGACAGATATTATTCAATATTCATAATAAATATAGGTTATCATTTTACAACTTGATTAAGCAGGTATCTGGTTACATGTCTACACTTGTTTTCCAAATGTAGACATGTAACCAGATACCTGCCTAATCAAGTTGTAAAATGATAACCTATATTTATTATGAATATTGAATAATATCTGTCAGTTGCCTGATGATCGCGTAAAGCGTGAAACTCAGAGTAGCGACGCAAACATTCAAACCTTGACTGAATTATAATATATATATATATATATATATATATATATATATATAATATATAATATATATATATATAATATATATATATATATATATATATATATAATATATATATATATATATATATATGTATATGTATATATATATGTATATGTATATATATATATATATATATATATTGTGAATTTAGGAAAGGTTGTCCTCGATAAATATATATATTTATAGAAATATACATGACATGTGACCAGATATATCTATCACATGACTTCATCTGATTATTTATGCAAGCTGCTTACAAAACTTCACAGGAGTGAAGCTATTTGGATTTTATTTGGTCAACATGCCAAAACCTTACTCAGACGATTTACGGTGGAGAATAGTGTGGCAAAAGCTATTGTTCAACCGATCAACAAGGAGAATAGCATCAGACTTGTTTATTTCACCGAAAACAGTTCAACGTGTTTTCCGCATCTTTCTAAACACTGGCAATGTTTGTCCAGTACAGAAATTTGGGAGGCCTTTAGGTACAACGACACTATATCAGCACGAGGAACTCGTTATATGCGAAATGATATTGAGCAAACCAACTATGCACTTGAAAGAAATCGCTTACGAATTCCAAAGCAAATTGGGTACACATTTTAGCATCCCGAGTTTATGTGCAGCGGTCCGCCGATTAGGATTTTCGCGTAAAAAGGTAAACAAATTTTTTTCTCATTTTACAATCTAACAGGTAATTGAATTGTTCAGAATTTGTCAACATTATATGGAATTTGGTACTATGTAAACCGGGTACCACAGCGCAGAAAACTATAAGATGCAGTATATACGCGCCATACAAAAACGTATTTCATTGATTGCAGTTTTTGTTCTTGTGATATACGCTATTAACTGTAACAAATGACATTTCGGCATACATCTTTTTCTCGACTATTACATGCAGAACTTTGATTGCATGCTCAGTCGACACGACAAGTGATTTACGTCTTTCGAGATGCATATGTGAAAGATAATGCATGCATTCCGCCGTTCATTTTCCTAACTTCTCAATTATTTGGTTGTAGATTCAAAGGGTTGCTATACAAAGAAGTGAAGTACTGCGGGCAAGATTCATGGCGGAAATTTCTCTTTTTCCTCCTGAATTTTTAGTTTTTGTAGACGAGACAGGATTTGTGAGTAATTGCTTTATACTATTTATTACTTTACACTAATTCTTCAAGCGTTTGGAAGAATTGTGTGAAAACTAATTACGCATATTACCATATAATATATACAAAGACATGCATGCAATATTGAATGCCAATTTTTAATGCGTTCGGGAATAAAACAAATGAATTTTTATGACATATAGTGGCATTGTTGTTGACGTCTCACATGATAACTTCATGTAGGATTTTTTAAACATCATATTTCCAGAGAATTAATTTAAACATGCAATCAACTGCATCCTGCAGGTAACACATTTGTTGTTGGGGCAAAATGACGTATATTATGGAGGGCACATTCATAGTGAGCTAAACTCTGTATATTTTCGTTCAACTTTAGGACAGACGTATCAATCGTCAGTATGGCTTCAGCTTAAAAGGTACACCTGCTATCCGCCACGCCAAATTTAATCCTTGGGGTCCACGCCACGCTGTCGTTGCTGCAATAGCTCTTGAGGGTCTACTTTGCGTCGACATAAAAGAAGAGCGCGTAGCCGTGAACGCTGATGTATTCGTTGACTTTTTGGAAACTCATTTAGTTCCAGCTCTACGGCCTTTTAATGGAATTAACTCCCGGTCAGTTGTTGTTATGGGTAAGCATTAAGCAATTAAACTTACTTGCATTAATTTTAATCTTATTGTACCATAATAGTTTTCATATAGCCTACAAAAAAATTTCCCAGTCAGTGTCATTTTGCGTATTCTATATTATTATGCATCTTTCTAAGCCCGTGCAACACCATTTTATCTATTTTAGATAACGCAGCCATCCATCATGTACCAGAGGTCGTAGAAGTTATCAACAGGGCAGGCGCGATAGTTCGTTTTCTGCCACCCTACAGTCCAGACCTCAATCCCATTGAGCAGGCATTTGCAACAGCAAAACATTTTATTCGGGAAAATGATGTTGTTTACCTAGCGACCACACAGCAAAAGCCACTTATCATGGAATCCTTCGCTCAAATAACCGGTGATTTGTGTGAAAGTTATTTCCGCCACTCCCGATATCTATAAGCTACTCGTAGCTACTGGAAATTCACATAGTTTTGAAGTCATTGTTCTGGGGTTTTTTCTTTACGTTTATGCAAATTTGCTCATCTTCATAGTGAGTGAACACATTGTTGTTTAGAAACAACAACATTAGAAATTTTTGGGTAACGATTAAGCCTTTAAGGTCGAAATTACTAAACACAGCTGCTAGCGCTTATGCAAGATAAATATAGTAGCTATATATTATGCACTTTCATTACTTTGAGACACATGCACAGCACCTCCAGATCAATTGAAGTTTGATTACTGATTTAATTCTCATCAACTTCATGTAGAAAAATTGAAAAAAAGCAGAATATTTGGCTTTTATAGTTAAAAAATACATCTTCACAACAATTCTAAATTATATCATAAAAATTAAGGGAGAAGTAAGCCTTTAAATCGCTGATCATAGTACTTTTGCAATGAAAGAGGATATATGTATAGTTTTCTCTTAGACCCGTGATAAATTATACACCGTTTCTAAGATATTCATGTGACTTCGAGGCATAGACATAAGTCGAAATTTAGTCAACGATTCTGTGCAATAACTTCTCCCCGTTAATGATCTTATCACGGATCGATCAGATTTGGAGCAGATCGAGAAACATTTTCTTTTTTTCCATGTATTCTGCTTCTGAAATCGCGTCCATCTGCAAAAGCTCAAACAAATCCCGCAATTGCTTCAGCACTTCAGATCGTTTAGTTGTCTGTAATTAAATAGACAAAAACAATGACTTTTTATGGAATAATAAATTATGTCTTGGTACAAATTGCATGGACTCACCGCATCTGCTTCTGTGGGCTGGATCGTTGGGGCAGCAGGTTCTTCACCAACTGCAGAAGTTGTTGCAGTTGTTGTTGAACTTCTTGGTCTTTTTGCAGGCCTATTGAACATGGGTACGTCGGGTACCGTGTCCATATCCCCGCTACCCAACATCTACAACATGAACGAAAAGCATGTCATTGAACAAAAACTTAAAACTATATATAGGTATACAGACGTTTTAATTCGTGATGTTTAATAACATTTTTTCATTGCTGACAAGCAGAAACATGATTCCGCATTGGTATACATACCACCATTTCTGCCCAAATCCTATATTTGTAGTCCGGATAGCTATTCAGTCCATGCTTTTCCTGCAACGATGTCATTATATCGGCGATGGTGGCTTTTTTCTCGACAGAGATCGCAGATGAGGTTGCACTGCTTGATGTTGCACTAGCCCCTCCTATGTAGAATACATATATTTATTGTACAGTACTTTGAACTTTAATGTACCACATTCATGAGCATGAAAGCACGGAAAAATACAATATTTTACTTACGTTTGCCTATGGCAAATGCTATCTTGACTATCTTTGCAAAATGGATCAATCCAGAACGGATAACCACTAACAGCGTTATCGAAGCCTTTCTCAAGTTCATCCACGGTTTTTACTACATATTTTTTATTGCGTTCCGCGACGTAACCAAACTGGAAATTCGTCAGACAAGAGCGGCTTGAGGTCGGGAAATAGACGAAGTATATTTTCTCTAAACTGATCCAGTGTTGTAACAATGGGAAAATTCGATGATTTTCGCGTCACGAACTTGCTTTTCTTAATGCGGTCTAACACCCTTACTTCGATCACAGGTATTTCTTGTGCTGCATTATCCATTTTTCAGAATTTGATAATTCGGCTTCCCATTGGCAATTCCTCGTAAAACGTGGGTGCTATTCTCCTCTCTAGACGGTATTTGTGTTACTTCGTAAAGGCCGTTTTCCACTAGGCGGAATTTAAATTTCTGCACGGACCGAAATTTCTCTTTGTCTTGTGATTTCTCGGGTGAAACTAATTAGAAAAGACAAAGAAAAATTCGCTCCGCGCGGAAAATTCCGCCTAGTGGAAAACGGCCTAAAAGCCTGTTTTCCACCAGCGAATTTCTTCGCGCGAAGCAAAGTTTCTATTGTTAAAATTGAAAAGAATTTGTTAAAAATCTAATTAGTTCCAGCAGAGAATTTTATAAGACAAAAGATTCGACGCTACAAATTTCGCCAGTGGAAATCCGGCTTAATCATACCGAGAGAGATATAATACAGGGTGTATCAAAAAAAGCGCAACCTCGGAATTTCCCAAGAAATCGACATTGTTTTAAAGACAAAAGATTTTAGGCGCCTGGGAATTTAAAATAGCATAA